GTAGGCAGGCAGGGATGCAGGCAGGTAGGCAGGCAGGGAGGCAGGCAGGCAGGCAGGCAGGCAGGCAGACAGAAAGACAGACAGACAGACTGATAAGGGAGCCCTATGCTTCGACCTCAAGTGTGAACAAGCACAAAAAAGAATCAAGAAAACAAAATATAAACGAATGGATGGAAACTTGGATATGCAACTCTCGTTAGTTCTTAGTGCAACACCCCGCTCGCCCTGTCAACGTTGAGGGTTTTTGTTTTTTTTGCTTTTTGTAATCTTTTGTTCTGTATGATTAATTTTTTCTTTTTAGGTAACCCAACTGTAGCGCTACCAACACTAGGGAATTTAAGCAAACCACGACGGCGACGGCAACGAGAACGTGGGAAATGCAGTAGATCTAATTGGCAGAACAATAGCCCAGCACGTGCGTTTTAAAACGTTGTACATTTTTTAGCCGTCCTTTGCAAAACAACAACGTGAAATCACCAAAATTTGTGTCGTCTGGGAACCGAAACCGCGGCGGTAAATTGCTTTAATTTACATTTGGAACTCAACGCTACTTTTACGCGTTATGTTGAGTTTGAGGTCTGGCGCCCTATGAGACGGTAAACACATGCAGCCATTTTCGAAATTCTAACTATAAGTAGAAACTCATTTTTTAATCGACGTCTTCCGTGGCGTTGCCATCGTGACTTCTTAACTTCCCTAATGTCAACACGGGAAAGGAAATGTTTCGAAATTGCGAAGAGAATTGCAGGTAACTAAGCAACTTGAGATCAACTTCTACCTAATCAAAATAACTAAATTGAATTCGACCCTTATCGACCGTTATCTTACCAAAGAAGGACAATTCCGCTACCCTTTGAATTGCTAACTAAACAACCTAAGATAACTATCCAACCAACGAACGAACTACTAAACCTCGACCGATTTCTCATAATTGTCCTTGCCTTAAAAGGACGATACCGCTGTAATTTGACACTCCCTGTGTTCCAGGAGTTTCCTTGATCGCCACTAAGTCTCCATTTAGAGACTAGGTTGGAGTTTTTACCACTCTGGGTGTAAACTGTCAAACGGCCGACGTCCTTTCCCCACATGTGATATTTAAAAGACAAACATTTGTAGGCAGGCACTACAAATGGACTCTCAAAGCGGATACTGTCGCCTTTAGAGCGAGGATAAGACGACTCCAGGTGTATGTAAAAGTCTAAAAGTGAAAAAAAAAAAAATTGTTTACATCCGACGCAAAAATGAACCTTTTTACAATTGTATGGCCAATTAGATTCAAGAAGAGTCGTTGAATAACAGACGGAATTATGGGCCTAAGTGGTGTCGGCTCTTATTCCAGTTTCCGAAGCAGGAGGCAATCGGGAGCATTTCATCTCCCATTGGATGGTACGCCAATCCGTCCCCCTTAACCCTCACTAACTCGTTAGTGTTTAACAACTCATGACTTGTTAAGCTGGTGATCATCTCCTTTTTTCACATGACCTTAATGTGCTATTCATAATGGTAATTAAAATGAGTGGAGTGCAATTTGGGCTGAAATCATACGCGTGATTTCAAAATCGAACGAGCGCGCAGCGCGAGTTCGATTTGAAATCACAAGTATGATTTCAGACCAAAATTGCACGACACGAGCTTCAATTACCACTTTATTACATCCATTTTGAAATCGCCCAAATACAGGACTTGGTCAATTCAAATATTTTA